CCCAATACATCCTCTAAAGTTTGTTTAATAATCTTTTTTATGATATTTCTACAAGTCAGGTTAGCATAGCATTGATGTTGGCCAATATTATTAAAGTTATTGCCCCGGATTGTCTGGAATTGAGAACAATTTATTAACAAGTGATCAATAGATTGATATTCACCACAGTAATTGCATTCTGGAGTTTTGTGGAATAATTTATATTGGTGTTCTCCAAACACTCCGTGGCCTGTTAAAAATTGATTGAGATAGAAGTTTGCTTGTAGTCTATTTAATTTCGGGTCTTTAAAAAATTTGAATGTCTGTCTCCCTTTCTCGGAACTCCGCCATTCCAGCCCCCAGCGCTTCATGCTATATAATTTAACCTGAGTTTTAATTTGGGCGATGGAGCTTGGGACCTCAAGGGCAACCCGGCAGAGATCGGTGGCTTTCTTAGCTGCTCGATCCGCCTCCTCGTTGCCTTGAGTACCTATATGAGCTTTAACCCAATTGCAGAGTATATTGGATCGCCATAATTGTTTAGTGTTTTCAACAATTTTTGAGCTTGATACTGGGTTTTGTAAGGCTTGCAACGAGGAAAGCGAATCAGTATAGATAGTGGCGTCTGGATATTCTTTTTTAGAGAGCCAGAGAAAAGCATTATTAATTGCCACCAATTCTGCCATGTAAACACTACTATTGTTTGAGATCCTGGTGGAGGTTGCCTCGATTAAAGTACCGTGCATTTTAGTAACAATGCCGAAGCCAGTTCTATATTCTGTGGTATCAGTAGCGGAGTCGGTATCAGTTGTGGTATCAGTTACATTGGCATATATGAAATTTTCATTCTGATGATCATAATTTATATTGTTAGCCGGAATTTGTTGGAAAATGTTTAATTTAAAGGTAATTATACTCAGTACTTTTTTAACAACTTTATAAAGTTAAAAATATTAAATTTAAAATTGACTTGTAGTAAAAATATCCGTCTTTCAAATCGGATGTAGCTTGAAAACGTTACTAAGAATACCATCGAAAAAGAAACTATTAAAAAGCAAAAATCATCATGCATCGTAACAAACGATATAATAAACATTATTATCTATTCTAATTAAAATTATTTATTTCAATTTACACCGAATCAAAAACTTTTGAAAAAACTCCGTTCTGTCTTCCTACTGTTTTTCCCCCCTTTGAAATTCTTCACTGTTGCACAGTTGGGCCCGCTGTTGTAAAAATTAATATATATACGGAATTTTAAATTCAGAATTGATCCTTGGATCGTAAAGCTGATATGGCTATTTAATTTTTATCACAACTAAAAAAACAGTATTTATTTATTTTATTTTGGTATTAACAGTATTTATTTATTGACAGTATTTATAATTGGTATTAACAGTATTTATTTATTCGTTATTTTGGAAAAAAACGAATAAACAGTAAGTCTGAAACTAATTTAAGTAAATGAAAGCTTACTTGTAAGATTCGATATTGAAATTAGAGCCTGTCGAGCATTCAGGCTGAACCAAACTCTTGTCGTTATTTTGAAAAAAACTAATAAACAGTAAGTCTGAAACTAATTTAAATAAATAAAAGCTTGTTTGCAAGTTTTGATATTGAAATTAGAGCCTGTCGAGCATTCAGGCTGACCCGAAATCCTTTCGTTATTTTGAAAAAAACTAATAAACAGTAAACCTGAAAGTAATTTAAATAAATGAATTCTTACTTGCAAGGTTCGATATTGAAATTAGAGCCTGTCGAGCATTCAGGCTGAACCGAAATCTTTCCGTTATTTTGACAAAAAACTAATAAACAGTAAGTCTAAAACTAATTTAAATAAATAAAAGCTTACTTGCAAGTTTCGATATTGAAATTAGAGCCAGTCGAGCATTCAGGCTGATTTCTACATTTACAAGCACAATCTTTATTGTTCCAATATTGATCAGATTGCCTGCAGTGAGAAGCATCTTGTTGGTTTTTGCATACACATCGGCATTGGCCAGGTTGATACCATTGCTGAGAAGTGCAGTTTGCTTCTTCTTGGCGACATTTGCAGGCACAACGATCATGTTGCTCAAGCCGAACATTTTCATAGCCTTCTAGTTCTAACATTTCGGCTCCTGGGTGAGGATAACGTGCTTTAATTACCTGTATAAAAGAAAAGAAGAAAATATGACATAAAACAAAATAATAAATTAATGTAAAAATTCGTCAAAGGCATGCCTCTAGTTTTAGAAACATCAATTCATCTTGCTTTAATTAACTGTATAAAATCAAACAACGTAAACAAAAATCAGAGCATTTAGCTGATTCTCTATGGTCTAAATATTACGGTACAAAACCGAAGTCTGATAAATTCTAAATTTTACCGGGAAATCCTAGCTTTTACTAAAGTGGCGTTATAATATGCTTTAATATGATTCCCTTTTGGCATTTTACAGAGGCTTTGCGGTAAAACCTAGCAGTTACCAAGCCCCTTCAGAAAAACCTAGTAATTACCAGACTTCTGGCTTTCACAGTTCTTACGGTAACAACCCGAATTCTGGTAAATCCAATGTTTTACGGGTAAAACCTAGCTTTTACCATAATGCTTTGATAAAAGTCCGAAGTATGCTTTAATAGAGTTCCATTTCGGCCTTTAACCAAGCCTTTTTGGTAAAAATTTGGAGTTACCAAGCCACTTTGTTAAGTCCTAGGTTTTACCGGCAGACTTTTACAATAACATATACACAAGCATTATCATTTCTATTCCGTAGTATAGGACATTTTGCTACCGGCCATTGACCAGTTGTAGCAGTTTTAACAGTGGTAACTTTTTCAAAAATTGAACATTTTTAACGATTAAAAAGACATGATATTAATAATATAAGGTATTTCCTTTGAAGCATTCCTCAAAATATTGTAAGCATCACACGATTCATTTTTAAAATAAAGGTAGACAGATTTACCAGACTAGAAGCTTTTACAGTAACACAAGCGTTATCATCACTACCCTGTAGTATAGAACTAATAAACAAATAAAATTGGGGGATTTTGATACCGGCATTGTCCAGTAGCATTTTTGACAGTGGCCACTTTTTCAAAAGTTTTACTTTTTTAACGACTGAAAAGACGTGATATTAATAATGTAAGGTATAATATGGTAAACATTAAAATATAGTAAACATCACAAGTTTCATTTTTAAAATAAAGAAAAATTTTAAAAAACAGGCGTGAAATACTTAAATTATAAAAATATTTTAAAATATTATAAATATTATAAAATATTTTAATATAAATTCCAAATTGATTTAAAAAAAACTATAAAACCTGCTTTTACGACAAAGAAATTGGTCATTGGAAGGTGACTCGTTGACAAATTTTTAATCGCCATTTGCTACATCAAGTAACCCTGTAGCACAAATAAAAGAGTATTTATACCCTATCAAGAAAAATAAAGCCTTTTTATGCAAACAATTATTTTTTATTTCTAGTTATACTTGCATATTAATACTAATATTTATATATAAATAAATCAATTCTCTCGAGATTTAGCGTTACTGCTTTCAAAAAATTTGGCTAAACGTGTTTCTCACTGGCAAAACTCGTTTATTAGATTAAATAATATGGAAGTTTGCGCATTTCTAGAGAATCCAACCCAGAAAACAAATAAACTATTGGAACAAACTTAAGACAAACTGGCCCTAGTAGAAAATTTTTTGAAGGAACTCACCAGTATGTGCGTTAAATGGAGAGGAAAATCTCGAAACACCATCACGGTTAGCCGGGGGATAAGGGGATCAACTTATGATCCGTGTACCACTGAAAATATGTTACGACAACACTGTGGTTGACCGGGAGCAACATTCGTATTGGTTACAGCTAGCATTCGAAACTTGGTCACCAAAATGGGAGGCGAGTGCTCTATATTCAAACTAGCCATCAGGGATTTCGTTACATGGAGAGAAAACCACAAAAAACCCTCACAGTTAACTCAACATGGGAAGAGAAAAAATTTATAAAAAAAGATTCAGATTACAAAATATTATTGATGAGGTCATTAGTTTTCGAGGTATTTTATATCAAAATTAAAAATGTTTTTTTGTTGTTGTCGTTGCGTTTTGTTATTCAGTTTAGCGAAAATTATTAGCATAAGAGCCACGGACGATCAAGTAGAAACGCATTTTCCTTTCTTTAAAAAAAAATAAACAACTTCAAATTAATAGAACGAGACTGGATGAATCATATCTCAAATATTACACAATCTTACTTTTACAGTGATTGTGCTGGTTCTTGTTGCTACACAATGCAGAAGTTTACTGCTACAGCAACCACTGCATCTACGGACCCGCGTGCAAATGGGCCAGATTACCAAGGATGGATCGAAAGGCCTTTCAAACTCCACAATCTTCATTTCAGGAAGGCAACCTGCGGGATGAGCAACTTCTACAGTTTGTTCACCTGTAATGAAGTGAAAATATAAGAAGACATAAAATGTATTGAAACGGACTAATTTAGAGCAGCAACTAATTTTTTGTTTAAATTTTGTCTCTTAAACCACATACGCTCACAATGCAAGTGATGTAGTGTGGGTATTTCGAGCCTGATTGGTTGTTAAAACGTTTGCATTGCTCTTTCTATTCTATTTTCAGTTAACTTACCTAGTCAAGTATCAATTCTCTTAAGTGATATATTCTATAATCCTTCACAAAGATTCTTTCACAATGATTTCTATTCTTATATTTCTTACTTTAGACAAAGAGAGGGGCAAAGCCATGTAGAATATAAACAAACTAATTATGCATTGAAGTTTCCAGGTATATAAAACAATCACTTGTTACAATAAAATACATAAACAAATAATAAATCTAAGAAAAAATTATATTTCATGAAATTCAATGTGCGATATAGCGCTGTATTTAGCTAATTTCACGTTAATTAGCATTCTAAGTCATGTGGAATCATGAGTTAGCTCAACTTTGACACGTCATTTTGTTTATTAACAATCAGCTTTCGCTGACGTCATATATCACGAGTGTGGGCATGTTTGGATCTTCTTATTCTCAAAATATAAGTACCCAAATGAAGATCTTAGTGGTTTATAAACATGCAGGGTATTCCGTAATCACAGCGCTTAGTATATATATTAGGAATAATAATAAAATAATAAAAGTACACGCATTAGGGTTCACAAATTAATAATTAATCAATAAAAACACCATTGAAATCAAACGAAAAAAATCCACGTCTGAAAAATGTGGGGTTAAAAACTTCAAAATACGTTTAATTGTCGGATGAAATAGAGAGGAGTTGAAAGTATTTATTTGAAAGACCTCAAAGTTTCATCTGACAATCCTGTGAATCTGTATCCTGTAAATTTGATATTTTTCCTCCCCCATGTGTTTCGTCCCCCATGTCCACTAGTGATGATATTTTTCCTTCCCCCGCCCCTTATTCATGACAGACTTCATTAGCGTTTATGTTTCTTCCCAGCTTGAATATTAATTTGTGACCAATAATGTATATACATTTTTTACTTTATTTTTGACAAAAATTCTGAAAATATATATTTAAGACGATGATTACGGAATGCCTTATATTTGGTTAATTATAAACTTAGAACTTTAATTAATTTCACCTCAACTCAACTCCGGTCTAAATTACATATTTTTCAAGTAAAAAAAATTTTAAAAGCTACCTGATGCTTCTTTGCGTTTTAAAGTTTTTCTTTTTTCAAATTCTTTAAATTGTCAATTTTTCACATTAAATTTCAACATGTTCATTAAATTGTCAATTTATCACTCGATCTCTAATAGTGAAACTCAATTACTTAAATAAAATTTCATTTAAATATAAAAGTTTCATAATAATTTATTAATCGAAACACATAATTTTAAGATGAACAAATAATTTTAAAATTTGACATTGTTAAGTGCGTATAGGAAAAAACGGAACACCTTAATAAATTTTGATCCGATGGTCAATTTATCAACCCATCTTTGGGGTTCTTTAAAGGTGCTAATTAAGTAACTTCCTTCGTTGAAATATACTTTCTTCCTCTATTGAAAGTAAGAAAATTAAAAGTAAAAAATTTTCATAATCCTAAGATCTTCTAAGAAACCATATGTTTTAACAAATGTTTTTTTTTCTTCATTTGTTTTAAAAAATGGTTAAATCATTATTCATTATTCAATATAATTTTAGAATATGCATATAATATTAACTTTTCGTATAAGCTAATATTATCTTCGATTAGTTAATATTATATCGACATAGTCTTTTTAATTCGCAAAAATTCGATTAATTCGCAAAAATTCGATAAAATAAATAATAATTAAATGAAACAATTTTTTTTTAATTTGGAGGGGTTTTTTTCATTTAACTCATTTAAACTTCCAATTCATTTTTTTCTTTTGACGTTTGAAAAAAGTAATATATATAAAACGCACTATATTTTAAATAGATATGTTTAAGAAACTTTTATGAGGAAAGTTATAAAGATAGTAACTGTAAGCTAAGAGTAAATGCGTATAATTTCAAGTATGCTTCTGGTTGCTTAAAAACATAATATCAAAACGGTACAACAAATATCTTGGTCAGTGTATATCTGTAATCTGATTTTTGACTCATGCTTTTAATAACTAATAATTTTTGTTTAATTGGGGAAAATTTGGTTAGACTTTTAATTTTTTAATTCGAAAGAATTATTATTCTTTTAAGAAAACTAGTCAAGAACTCATTTCCTTAACAGTATTGTTTTTAAGTATTAGTAAATATTTAGTAGAAAATTTTCATGGCAATTGCTTTATTCATCATTAAAATCTTTGTCGTAACAATTTAAAAACCAATGCATCCAAAATAATGTGTTTAAGACGCGATAGACTACGGTTGTTTTTTTTTTTTAATCTATTGTTTCCTAACGTGAGAATAAGTTTTATAAAACATGAATTGAGATAAACTAAAGCAGCTCATATTAAATGAATATACCATCTCTTGAAAAGATTTATTCTCCTAAATTCTGTTCTAGTAACTGCTTGTTTAAATAACAAACTGGTTTTAAAAGCATTTATAAAGCTGTTATTCAGAAATAATTATTGAAAAAGAAATGGATGAAATCAATTATTCACCTTCAGGGAATGTCTTCAGAATGAAGTATTACGTCATCGATACTGCACATATTTAATTTAGAAGAATTTCTATTTTAACTAGCTACACAGAATTAAATATATTTAAAAACAAATCGAGTGAAATATGGTTTTTATTCGCTACTTGATAAAATACATTTAACTAAAAAAATTAATTTTTTAAAGCAAAAACATTCCTGTTTCCTCTTAAGAAAGTTTGATACACATTTTTGAAAGTTTTTCATAAGTGCCGATAACATTTTGACAATTGTGTTGTCGTTATATTTAATAAGTATGCGAAATTTGTTTACAAAACTTCTAAGGGGCATAAAATTTCAAAACTTTTAAAAAATTTTAATTTAAAGTTGCATATTTCATAATATTTTGAATTTAATTTGGAACATATAATTGTTACTGTGAATGAGCGAAATTGGTGGTTGTTGACTTCCACTGGTGAATGTTGACAATCACTGCCCTGTATGCCCAACATCAATGTTTTTTTAAGGTTCATTACCACTGCTCGGTATGCCCTACATCAATGTTTTTTAAGGTCAAGTGAAACTGCCCAGTATGCCGGTAGTTCGAACACTGATGTTTCTCCTAATCAGCAGATATCGAATAAATATAATAATATCAGCGAATAAATTAATATCAAATATTTTTGACAAAGCGATTGTTGACCAGTGAAAGTCGCCATTCTCTTGATTTCATTCATTCACGATAACATATTCACTTAAAATTGTTTCAAAATTGACTTTTTTTTTTATCTGACCAAATTTCCAACGTAAAAGATTAGATCATGCATGACTTGAGATGTAATGGGAATTAAGGATCAATTTCATCGAGAGTAGCCAACAATTCTGCCCAAATACGCCTGAATGGACGAAATGTCAATCCAGGTGGGCATTGGGAAAAAAATATTTTTTAAATATTATTTTTTAAATATTGAAAATATTATTTAAATATTATTTAATATTATATTATTTTAAATATTTTTTAAATATTATTATTAAAAAAAATATTTTTTAAATATTACTAAACTTGTGATATTTTTAAAAAATGAATTCCACTATTTCAAATTCATTTTAGCGAATTGTGTCACATTATGTTCCATTTGTAAAACGACTGTTACTGATCATGCCATACATTTTCTTAAAATAGCAATTAAAGATCCCAAGATTATTCAGAAATATACTTGCGGATAAATAATGACTTCTTTGTACCTAGTGATAGAATAAATAATTCGGTGAATAACTTCAGACTATATCAATTAGTTATAAAGCAAGTAAAAACTTCTTTTTTAAAAAAAGCGCAACTGTTCAGTTGATTCTTTGAATAAGAAATAAAATTTGAAAACATAAAATTTTCTGCACTTTAAGTAATTTTTTTGCAATTTTATAGAGAATTTTCTGCACCATAAAAAATAGGGGTTGACAGGTACTTCAAAATATTTATATTACGATCAAGAAGAAAAGATATATTACACAAACAGAAATTACCTTGTTTTTACATAGCCTTTATTTTTCGAACATAATACTTCCGAAATAATGGATATTTTACTGTAAAAATAACGTATTTTATTTATCGGGAATTCAGAAATATTCTTTTATAAAATTTAACTGTTTCCACAATTTAAATAAAAGATAAGATATTTTTTACAGGGAACATACTAACACTTGCACTGTAAGAATTTCGAATCAAATTATGGCATAGAATACCAACACTTTGGGTGGATCATTCGTAAAATCCATTTTTATCGTAAAATATTATACCGTAATTTTTACAGTTAATTTACGGTAATTATCATTGCAAAAATTACGGTATATCTGATCTCTGTTCCATCACATGTTCTGGTAAAAATACAGCGTGTTTATAAAGTCCCGAACCCATTTTGATGTTTAATAGCTCATAAAATAATAAAGATAGATTAAAATTAATAACGTAAATGGTTAGATAGACTTAAAAAGTTTCATGACCCTTGTCAATGAACTTCCACGTGTGCCCCCTTCGTCGCACGGAGAATATCAAGTCGATAGTCAATCTCACGCCAGGTAGCGGCAAGCATGTCGGCATCCACAGAAGCTATTGTTGTTTTCTGAAGCGCATAATGTTCTCCGACGAAGCATCCTTTCATGTTTCTGGCATTGTCAATCGCCATAATGTGCGCATATGGGGATCTGAAAACCCCCATGAATACCGTGAGACACAAAGGGATTCCCCAAAGGTTAATGTGTGGTGTGGACTAATACACGACCGAGTCATTGGGCCTTTCTTTTTCACAGAAAAGACAGTCTCATCAGTCGTATACTTAGACATGTTGGAAAACTTCGTATTTCCACAACTAGAAGAGCTTCAGCCACATGTCTTTTTGCAACAAGATGGTGCACAACCTCATTGGGGTATCATCGTTCGTAGTTCTTTGAATGACTATTTTCCAGGAAGATGGATTGGGCGAGGAGGTCCAATTCCTTGGCCACTCAGATCACCTAACATAACGCCGCTGGACATTTTTCTTTGGGGATTTATAAAGGACAATGTTTACAGGAGGATAGTGTCCAACATTGATGACCTAAAAGCCAGAATTACAACCGCAATAGCCTCTGTGGATTCCGATATGTTTGCCGCTACTTGGCGTGAAATTGACTATCGACTTGATATTCTCCGTGCGACGAAGGGGGCACCCGTGGAAGCTCATTAACAAGGGTCATGAAACTTTTTGAGTCTATCTAACCATTTATGTTATTAATTTTAATCTATCTTCATTATTTTATGAGTTTTTGAACATCAAAATGGGTCCGGGGCTTTATAAACACCCTGTAGATTTCATGGTAAAAAGTACCAGCACCCTGAATGCCGCTACTTTTTAACGTAATTTGATCCGGTGTAATTTTACAGTGGGGAAAAACAAATAAAATTTTACCACAAGTTTTAGTAACTTTTACAACTGATGTAGTATCTTTTATATTATCTTTTATATAGGTTACTATCTAAATAAAAATTGCAGATGAATTTTCATGTGTAAATTTGACGAACGCCCAGCCTTTTTATAAAACGTAAAATATCAAAGAAAAGCGTGAAACAACCCTTAAGAAGACCTCAAGAAAAACTTTCCTTGGGAAATTCTATTTCATCTCCTTTGAAAATAGTGAGTTTAGAGAAAGTTAGATGAAGCTTATAATGGTAAAAAAATGTATTTGTTACCGTGAATGAACGAAATCAATAAAATGTCGACTTACACCGGTGAAAGTCGACATTTTATTGATTTCGTTCATTCACGGCTAAATAACAATCTATTTCATTGTTATTTTACCATATTAAAACAAAACATTCAAATAACTATAAATAAGATAATAATGAAACGTGAGAAAAATCGTTTATTAACTATTTTTACCTAAAACGGTTTTAAATAACAAGAACCAACTAAGCCCACCTAATGAAGCAACTTAGTTCCTTGAAACTGCTTACATATTACAGCCAAGAGAGCTAATCCCTTGAGTCGCAGCGTTGGTACCCTTTAATACACATGAAGAATTGCCCATTATCTAACGAGAAGTCCAGTTAAATTTCCTTTTTTACGGTTTTGAAATCATGATAGCCGTAAATGATTAAAAAACCGTATAGTTTTGTATTCATGATTTAATAACTATACTAGTTGTAAACGGTTTCAAAACTGTAAAGGTAAAAAATCTTTGTTACCGTAAACTTTACGGTTAATCAGATGGACAGACTGCTGTCGGTTATTTTACCATAATTTCATGTAGTGTCACAGTGTAGTATAAATTTCGGACATTTATCAAAGTGACTTTGTGATTGTCAACATTCTACGGGGGAAGTCAACAACTACTAATTTCGGCCATTCACAGTAACATATTCAAAACATCAAAACGTAAACAAATTACTGAAGTAGGACAACGCCCCCACAGCGTGATCCTAATAAATCTTGTCATAATTTGATTTTTAAATTTTGAGAAAAAAAATCAATTTTTGAAATTTCAAGATTTATTCTAAGTTTACCGGAACTGACTTTTTCTATACTTTAAATTATTTATGTAGGTTCAAAGAGAATTTGACATAAAAGTTTTCACCTGCGATCTAGCGCCCTCTTAAGTCTTATATTACATTCTAATTCAGATGCAAACATAATTTTCTTCACCATTTTTGATAAAACTTATTGCATTAATTTTTTTAAGTGATTAAAACAAATTTTTAAATTTTCCTGATTTTCAATATTTTACTATGGGATAAAATTAGTTTAATTTATTTATTTTAAATCGCAGGTAATTCTTTAAAGTAAGATAGTATATGTCCCTGGCCAAATTATTAGACGCATTCTAATATTCTATGTAAAATCTTAATTATCAGGTGATACTATACAGCTTTATTGTTTTCACGAGACTGAAACTGGTTTCCACTTGTTTACGTTCGTGTATCAGTAGGTAAGCATTGTAATACAATACGTTAAAAATAAATACTAACAGAAAGTATGTAAAAAATCTCCTGAATAAAAACCCATTACACGTATGTCTAAATATAAAAAGACATACAAGAATACAAAGTATTGCATAGAAACTCGTGCGAAACATGTAATTATTAAAACACTACAGTGTGTCTAATAATTAGGTCTAATTATTATAATATACAAATATAATACCCGATATAATAAATATTCTATATTTATGTAATATATCGTCTAATTTATCCAATCGTCGAATTTAAATTATATATTATTTAACAAGAGCAAACCGGTTTCAGTCTAGTAAAAACAATAAAGCTGTATAGTATCACCTGATAATTAAGATTTTACATAGAATCTTATAGTGCGTCTAATAATTTGGTCAGGGACTGTATAGTTATAATTTTAATCCGAATCCAAGTTACTCTAACTGTAGTTTGAGCTTTTATTAAACCTTACCTTCATCTCCCTGAGATAAGTAAGCTCGTTGGACTGCAGCTTGATCTACCCAGCTATTTAGGAACTGACTGATATTTTGAACTGTTTGAAGTCTAATTAGAAAATCTTCTGGAACCTAAATTTTAAAAAAAAAGATTTTCAAAACTATGTAATCATTATATGGAATTTTAGAAAAGTTTATTTCAGAGAGGAAGAAAATCATAATTTCGTAAGCATTTTTCGTCGTAATAATTACAGTCTAAAAGAAGTTGAGCAACATAAAACTTCGAATTTTTAAACAATTATTAAATAGAATTTTTAAAAAGTTAAGCATTTAAGAAAGAAGAAATAAAATCCTGATTCAAAACTATTATAAATAAAATCATTATTTCATTTATCAAATATCAGTTAAACATTTAAGAAAAAAATAAAATCCTGATCCAAACCGTTATAAGCAAAATCATTATTTCGTAATAACTCAACAAAGATTCAAAATCATTATTTCGTAATAATTCAACAATGATTCAATATCATTATTTCGCAATATTTCAACAATGATTCAAAACCATTATAAACAAAATCATTATTTCATTTATCAAATATCAGTTAAACATTTAACAAGAAAGAAATAAAATCCTAATTCAGATCATTAAAAACAAAATCATTATTTCGTAAATATTTCACGTATAAATAGTTACAGTCTAATAAAAATTGTACAACATAAACTTATATTATTATGCAATCATTAAATAGAATTTTAAAAATATTAAATATTTAAGAAAGAAATGAAATCAAATATTTTAATTATAATATATACTTCGCTACTTTACAACGGAATGAAATAATTTTATAATCACCAACACAAATGACATAACCTTCTATGGATAATTGAAGAATTTAGTGGATGAAGGAACCATCTCACATTTTGATAACACGAGTTTTGGTTTAAGAATATGTTCCATTCAACCAGTGATCGGAAGTAGCACACTACAAGTAGTGAAACTACTGCAGTCGCTATTTGATTCAGAGTTTGTAGTGATGTGTGCTACTTCTTTAAAAAAGTAGTAAAGTGAGTAGTGCTATGCAAAAAAACTGTATTTTGTAACGATTCCTATAAACTACTCTTAACGTTAGTTTAAAAACGAAACACAGTTCGAACGGAAATAAGTTTTGAAATTATTAGATTGGTACAAATCTTCGCGGTTCCGTCTATGGATGCAATGAAAATGACCCTGTATCCGTATCAGAGCGCAAACAGAAATTACGTATCACGTATAATTAATATTTAAACAAGCCATTACGAAAAATAGTTAATTAATCACTTTGGTCCCACTTTCACATGCGAATGCACACTCGTGAAGCATTATGTTATTTAAAAAGAAGGGAACGTATTTTCGATGTACTAAATATAAGAGCATTAAATTAAATAAAAAAGCATTAAACAATCAAAAAAATTTCAAATATTTGATTATTTGCATTTCTTAAATTAAATATTCACTATTGAAAAAAGCATAAAAAATTAAAAATTAAATTAACAAATTCGAAAAAATATTTTGGAATAACAACTCATGTAAACATGAATAAATATTTCTTAATTTTTCTCTTATATTTGATGTAAACCAATTTCTTATTCAGAACCATTTTGAACATAAATGTAAATTAAGTTCTCCAGCAAAGTTCATCTCATTAAAATAGTGAAATAGATACTAAACTCCAAAGAAGTTTGTAGTCACTACATTTAAAAAAAAGTAGCTAACTACATTTGTAACAAAGCAGTTGTAGTAAACTATAAAAATAATGTAGTTTTTCCAACCACTGATTTCAACTGTATGTATAGAACTTAATTTTGTTCATCCAAGTCATTAAATATGACGATTTTCAAAGAATAAGTTTGTAAATGTGTTTTGCAAACAGCTTCTTCCGATATTTTCGCTAAAATTTCTCTTAAAACCTTCTTCCACAAGGCTCTTTAATTATATTTTTCTTTATCATAGAAATAATAAAAAAAATTCAGATAAATTTTTTTCTTTCCCTAAAATCTTACGTAAATTAAAATTTAATTTACAGTAAAAGCTCCATGTAACGTATTCGCTATTACGGAAAAAAATGCTAATATTGAAAATAAAAAAATTGTGTGTTTATAATGAGTTAAAAATTACTAGCCTTCCACTATTACTACAAAATATTTTTAGAAAAATACAATTTTCTGATGTTCAAATGAGCAATATTATACAACCAAGGTCTAAATAGAATTTATTTTTATTATATCAGGTATTAATAAAATAAAGCGATAACAAACTCCGATTTGTATAAAGCAATGTGTGTCCGACCACAGGCTTGTTGTACAAGCATTCCTGTCTTAGACATTTCTACTTTTTATAAAGTACAAAGCTACGTAATTCAGTCTGCAATCTGTAGGCAAAAACAGTCTACTTTAGATATGAATTATAAAGCAAAATAGTCGTCAAAATTAAAGGAAAAGAGCTGAATATGTTTATTTTTAAGTCTTTGTTTGTTAGTTTAACCTTAAATACGTGTATTTTCTTATATAAAAAAGCTCGTTATAACGAAACTTTCTTCTTCTATAAAGAATTGTCGTTATAATTAACTGTATATTGAAACTAAACAGGGCTATCGAAATTAGTATCAACTTTTATCTATTGGTGTGATAAAAATCCATTGCTAAAAGAGTAACTTATGAACACTGGATATAGATAGATATAGATAATTATTAATTTAAGATTTTAAAATTATATGAAAACAGTTCTAAAGGTCTCATAATCACCCAAGTAACAGTTGTTTATCGCCATATGGATAAAATTTGCCATTCGCCGAAACTACGGAAACGTTTATAATAAATTGTTTTTGAATCGTGACACCTATTCCGTGACAAAAACTTTTAAGCACCAGTTTTCACAACCGTATATTCTGTCGATAGCAGTTGAATTCACCTGTGCCTTCTGTTACGGCAAAATAGATATTATGAATGTAATTTTTTTCGCCAGATAATTTTGCTCGCTAAAGAATTCACTGATTTCTCGAGTCACTAATTTATGTATCTTCTCTTTTAACGTTTGCTTTTCAAGAATAAGCATTAAAACATTTTTACCATAGGTAGAAAAGTTAAGTTAGTTTCTAATTAAAAGTGATAAAAATATTTTACTTTATTGTAAGAATTAAATTTCGATATGTTTCATTCTATATCTTTGTGACTGTATTTTATATAAATATTAAAACGTATTTTTAATCTTAGTTACTCATTAATATTTACTTTATATTACTCACGTCTTGAACCAAAAACGCAAATGTCATTTTTGTTAAGATATTTTTACTCCAATTCTTTTATTAAATACAAAAGGAATAAGCAAGTCTAATTTTAATTAGAAATTTTTTGCATTCCTTGGGCTACTCAAAAGGACAAAAATAATAGTAAAATTCTATTCATTTGCATGCACTTATTTTAAACCATATAAGAGTATTGTGTATGATATACTGGACAATAACGGAGTAGTTTTATAAATTTTGCTGGTAAAATTCAATTGTTATAAATATTATTGTTTTTCAATGCAGTTATTAAATTATTTTCATTCCGTAATTTTTTAATTTTTTAAAACATATTTTTGAAGCCTAATGATATTTTATTTATTTTTTTTTCCATTTATTTATTAGTCCAATCGAAATTTTTCACATTCTTCGTGCTGCTAAAAATGTGATAAATAACAATAAAATACCAATCATTTTCAAGCAACCATTTTTATTGATATATAACTATGAATATGACGCACAGGACAATAATGAAATAATTTTATAATTTTTATTTATATAATTCAATTATTTTACATATAACCCATATAATGCAATTCGTGAATTACACCCATTTTGTAATTATTCAAAATTTTGATAAGTAGTTATGCATTAATTTTGAAATATATTAATCCATTAACTATACCAAAAATCATATTTATTTTATATATAATTATATTACTATATATCATATTTTAGCAATAACGCAACAATTGCATTTAATAATGAAAACATAAAGAGAAATCATTCTAGTAATTTAAAAATCAATGATCACTTGGTTTATCAAACTTTAATATGATGTAAATCAACAAACGATCTTTTATTTCTTATTTTTACGTTAAATTCCTCAAGCTTACTTACAAGCATTGTATTTATACACTTTCTCAGTATTAAAATAACTTTTTTTTAAAAATTATAATGCATGTTTAAATTTTCCATTCAAATAAATTTATAGGATATAGTTTTAACAGTGTGAAGTATATATTTATAAGAAGAATACACTTATAAACAAACAGTAAGGAAATTTAACATGTGTAACAGATCAATAAAGCATTTTTATGAAATATAAACTAGGGACTTACTGTAACATGAGTACTGATTCGCAATCGTCAAATAAGTCACTGTTTGGTCACTCCTGATAAAAATTTTATCTAACTTAATACCCTTATTGAAGAGGACGCACCCTGAGAAAAAAAAGTGTGGTCAAAACTACCAGAATATGGTAAACTCAACCGTGTTGCCTGCTTATGGTACACCAAAATGGTCTGTAATATTTACTGAAGCACTTTGGTTATAAAGTTGGTAAAATTAATAATTAAATATGGTTTTATAATTATGTGATGAAATTAGGTAAATATGGTAAGTTTAATTTTATAATGATGCCTTAGAGCAGTGATTCTCAACATTTTTTTTTTGTTGCGGCACACTTTTAACGATTTCGAAATTTGACGGCACACAAAGAAAAAAATTAAATTAAAAGTTGTTTAATTACCTATTTTACACTGTGTTAAATAGTTTGTGATAATAATTGTGAATGTGAAATAAAATAATATGTACTACAAAAGCACATTTATTAAGGGATTAGTTATTTCTCTCGACCAATTTTTTATTAGTTAGTAACAGTTATTTATTTTTTTGCTAGTTATTAATTGTTTGCTTGTTTTCTATAGTTATTAACTGTTTGTTTTTTTTACATTAACTGTTATTTTTTGTGATTTCTTGTTAAATAGTTTTTTTGCTAATTATTAATTGTTAGCTTAATTTCTGTTAGTTATCCTTTGTTTTTTATATATTTGTTTTTTTAGTTATCCTTTGTTAATTTGTTTATTAATT